AATCCTTCGACGATATTCCCCAACTGGTCATAACACTTTACTTAACCATAGATGATATCGGCTTGTCTCGCCGAAGTTGATAATTGCTTCTCCGCTTCATGCTAGTATATCTAGATTGTTTCCCAACAAAAAGAACCAGTTATTAAATTAATGTAATCAATAAATATTTACACCCCCAGTTCTATCATTGATGAACATAACACGTACATTTTCTTTAGAGCGTTCAATTTTTCAAATCATGGGGAATGATCTCATAGAGATTGAAATGGACCGCGTTTAGCGGAAAGGAAGCAAGCAAGCCGTATCAGCTACTGCCAACTTTTACTGGGCAATTTAATTTTTTTCGAGAAAGTTTGTGCGGATTCCTTTAAAAATTTAAATGAATTTTCTTCGTACTATGCAGAAAACTCACTGAAATTTTCACAACATTTGGCACAAAATGTTTACAAAATTTTAAGTAAAAAATTAAACTGCCCAATTACATTTGGCGATAACTGATGTGGTTTGGCTCCTTTCTGCTTAACGCGGTCCAAATGATGGACGATGCCAAAACACTAATTTCATAAGATCTAATTGTTTAAGGTCTCACAACCGAGATCCTCAACGATCTTGAGCACTACTGATTGCAACACAATTTCTACGTAAATTTTTCATCATTATTGTTGGTAGTGTCACTGTGAGGCCGGGAACCACCCGCGACGGGATTTAGCCGTATAAATTCACCGCGCAGAATGTGTTCGAACTCTCTGATTTTCACGACACGCCGTTGGAGAATGCATTTCAGACTCTAAATATGTGCGAGTGTTTACGTGCATCCGTGCTCAAATGTATATGCATTATATGCAAATACAATTATACTACCATGTTTATGCATCTCAGGAAATTCAAATGAAAAATGGACGGCAAGAAGCACGCATTGTTGCCGAATTTCTTATGAATCGTGGGTTGTAAACCTAAGTTTGAAATTCAAAATATTCCATCCAAATTAGGCAAATGGGCGGCACTAGCCCGGGATGAGCTTTGTCACAACTAAACCCTGTCGGGAAACCAATGGATATGGAATAAAACGAAAGACTAGACCCTCGCTCAGCGGCTGGGAGACTGAAGGCCAGCAAACCTCTTCATTTTTCCAAATTTTACCATGAAGTTCACGAGTAAATTCGAATGATTTGGCAACAAGTTGAGGGGCTTAGTTAGTCTCTAGCGTCAAACTGTTTTTAGTGCTTCTTAGGTGAAAGGTCATTTTTGAGTAGCTCTTATCCGACACTTGTATTTTCTTGCCCCCTCCCGTTAACCCCCTCCCTCAATTTGGCACGCCACGCTTTTATTTCATCGCTAATCTAAGGATTGGTGCATAGAGGTACTCTGCCTGTTCTGCTCTCTCCCCTGGCGGCCGCTGGACTGGTCTCTCTGGACTCTCGGGGGCTTTTAATATTCCCCCTCCTCTCTACCACCAGCCTTCTGCTATTCTCCATCCCTTACCCCCTCCCCCGCCCGGGATCTCTGTCTGGAGCTAAAGTGGCTCGATTGGCCATTAGTCGTAATAAATACTGGGCAGCAAGGTATCACTTGCGTATAGTGTAACCTGGCCCGGTGCTCCAGCGTAGCACCTCACGGGGGCTAAGTGCAGAAGCGGTGTCATGCTGTCATATTGCCCCATTGCCGGTGCTTTGCATCGTTTTTGCAAGTGCACTTTTTTCGTGATGCAATTTGTGCTTCTTTGGATTTCTGTAGGGAATAATCCGAGGAATGATGGAAATTTGGATTTACATGATAGGTTAAAATTGATTGTAACCAAATTTTTGAGGGAAAACGTAGCCTGTTGGGTTTAAAATACAGGCGAAGCGATGCCTTTTCATGACTAATTGTTGCTGGTATTTTTTTTTAAAAAAAAAAAAAAAAAAAAAAAAAAAAAAAAAAAAAAAAGCGGGTACAACCTTATCAACTTGACTTACTCGCGGGTTGCGTGTCCAAATTTACTATCAACCGGACTGAAAATTTCGTGAATGTGGCTACTATCAGCCTTGGATGCAACCATATATTGTACCTACGCAAATTGAAAGAAGCGTAGGAGATGTAACCGCAGTATATTCAATTTCGTTTTTTTTGTCTTTTTTTTTTTTTAATACACACGTGTTAAAAAAGTGACTCCATATTTAAATACATAAGATTAGTAGATTAATAATTAGAAACCCAACAGTATGGATTTCTTTCTTTTCTTCTTGTTGGTTCACCTCAAATTTTCACTCACTTATGAGTTGAATTTAAAGATTTTCCATAAGCCTAATGTGTCAGCATTCTTACTCTGCACTAAGATTGAGGTGGAAACCTGCACTGTGGGTTACACCGAGCAAAAGTCTTTTTATAGAGGTCCACTACAATCATTGTTAATTCTTGTTCCCTGAAGTGGTAGCCCACTTCACGCCGTTGTTCGGAATCAAGCTCAAGAGTAAGTATTGAATAAAGAAGCAATTGGTCATGGCACATCTAATTGATAAGTGCAATAATCTTCATGATCGACTTGTTTCCTACGGAGTTGATTTTCGTACATACATGGCATCTCTGAGCGTCACCCTTGTCCGTTATGCGACACCGCACCGCGCCCTTTTGGGATCTCGCCTTTGACATTCTCACAGACCTCATGATACAGGTCGGCGTCGGCCGCAGTCTTTCTGCTTTGCCTTCGTATGACGCTGCCAAATAAAATCACAGGACGATGGTATCTCTGAATAAACGATCAACCCTAGTTCCTCGAGAAATATGGCAACCAGTCTAGCAGCTTTACGATCATGTTTGGGCCCACGCGGAAATCTTGCGTTGAAAAACGGATTTTACAGCGATTATTTCCGCATGGTGTCCTCAGCGGGTCAGCTTAGGTAGTCATGGAAATGCATACATAATCCGATTCATAAAGCAATTTGCTCTTGATTTTTACGATGTAGTTCAACTCGTGAAAAAAAGAAGGAAAAGAAGGAAAGAAATACGAACATCTGAAGCGGTCGTATGAATGAGCGGTGCAACGCATTTTTGCCAATAGGGATTTTTGAAAGTAGGTACCTCGAAACATTATTTCATTGACAACTTTGGGAATCATTTATTATCATTATTATTATTACAGTATAATTTCTAAAAATTACACCTCTCTGGTGGAATAACATCTTACAGGGCAGCTGATATTTGAGTTAGATAATTCTGATTGTTTATGCAATACAGTCCCAACATATGTATATTTCCTGAGAGGGACAATAACAGGGGTATGCTAAAAAGTTACTGAGGCAGCCCAGTGGCATCAAACCGATGTACTTTCACCTGGTTTTTTTGTTTTTTGTTTTCTTTCAAAATAAAATTCTAACAAAATATCCTCTCAGAGAAATGCCGTATGTGCCATCGAACATTTCAAACGGATCAGAACGGATAATCATTTTCTGTAAAAAATGTTTGTATCGCTGTAGGTGATAATTTACTACCATATTAAATGAGAATCGAACATGCATTTGTCTGTGAATTTGCCTGTGAGGATTCGCAGAACATCGCAGCTTTGAGGAACGCATGAGTGCTGCAAATCAGGAAACAAGGAACGATAGTGCATTGTACACGACCGTTTATTGTGTGTTGGCTCGTGCTGCAGTGGAGTTGAATTATACGAGACAGTCTGCATAGCGTGGCTTATTTATAAACCATGTATGCGTTACATTTTCAACGTATCGGTCTTGGACAATACAATGGCGGAAGAATGTGTACTTCTTCTCATATTAATTACTCTCCTATTTTCTGAACTTTTGAAACAGCATTTCTTCGCGGATACGTTATACAACCTGAATATGTTAAAGTACAAGTTGAACCTCTTAGTTTATCAGTCTTTTGCAATGAATTTGTCGCTTTCGTTGTGACACCTTATCGGCTAACAATAGATTCTAACACATCCGGTGGCTCTTGCCTTTTATCAATCTTGTTTTATTCCCAGTTAAAGCTGAGGGTTTCGATACAGGATCAGGCCAAACAGGTGGGAAAGATGGGGGAGAGGGTTACAATGTACAGCTTTGCGAAATGCATGGTCGGGTAAAATAAGCTGCGGTTCTGATATACCTGCTAACGCTCTTTTTATCTGCGTCATATCATATCAGTTGCTTTCTCATTGAGAAACTGATGCTTGAAATATCACATTCGAAGCGTCCCTTGGGGTTGCTTTTCATAGGACCGATTTTTTTAAAAATAAATAGCGGTAATGCACGGAGGAAGAACTTCGTATGAGAGACCCGAAGTTGAGGTCGTATGGATCTCGCATCCGAAAACTTGAGGTCCACCTGCCGAAGTTTAGGTCAAACATCTCAGGTAGGTACTTCGGTATTTTCTGAGGTTTCCGGTTTACACATCTGAAGTATTTCGGTGTATACTGAAGTACTTCGGATGTTTGAACCGAACTTCGGCTGGTGGACCTCAAGTTCTCGGATGCGCGATCCGAAAACTTAAGAGATCCCTTATGACCTCAACTTCGGGTCTCACATACGAAGTTTTTCCTCCGTGCATTACCGCTATTTATTTAAAAAAAAAAAAAAAATCGGTCCTACCAGAAGCAACCCCAAGGGACGCTTTATTTGTGATATTTCAAGCATCAGTTTCTCAATTAAAAAGCAACTGATATGATATGACACAGATAAAAAGAGCGTTAGCAGGTATATCAGAACCGCAGCTTATTTTACCCGATCATGCATTTCGCAAAGCTGTAGATTGTTCCCCTCTCCCCCATCAATCCCACCTGTTTGACCTTATCCTGTATCGAAACCCTCATCTTTAACTGGGAATAAAACAAATTAATAAGAGGTAAGAGCCACCGAAGTTTTTCTCTCCGTGTGGGTACTCCGTATAACTAAATGTCTAACTGCTCTCATCATTCTTTTTTACGCATGTGTTGTTAGTAACTTCATCATTTCATTATTGTGTTGCATCGTATTGTAGGATGAGATGTTGAGGTAATTTGTTTGATATTGGGATTGTTGCAGTATGCTGAACTGAAATGGGAGAAGTGGTCGGGAATTTCAGTCGACTAGAGCTGAGCACCGAGTATTTCATGGTACCTACAACGACGACGGCAGTGCCCACATTTCCCAGCGTCTATCGAAGTCCAGCACCGGCTCACCCCACGCTACTCCGCCAGGATGTCTGGGTACCACCTCTTCTCATCCTATCCTCCCTCAATATGCTCCTCATCGCTTTGTTCGAGGTTCGTATACCCTTTACCGCATTTCCTATTTGTCCCTATTTTATCTCCATTTTCTCATTACAATTGCAACTATGAGTTATGTTATTGCCTCCTCTGACGCTTTAATTAAATATCTACTCTCCTATTTCGCATATCTTGGACGACGCGTCCAGCCTGCTCACTGGGAAAAAACACATTGGATCTAGAGCCCAGATTCTTAAAAACATCGACAAGAAAAAGTACTCTTGATTCAATCAGAATCTAGCTTAAATCAAGAACCAAGCCTCTTAATTTAAGCGGATTTCGTTTTGCTTGAAGCAAAAATCCGATTGAATCAAGAGTATTTTTTCTTGTCAATGTTTTCAAGAGTCTGGACTGTAGATCCAATGTGTTTTTTTTCGTGCTTGTTTCCGGTTTAAACTCTGAGCATTCCTTCAAAAAATGTTGATTTTTTGAATGAGCAATGTTGAGGTTTTAAGACCGCCAAGAAAAACAGCATAGGGTTACCTACCTACTTGTTTTAATAAAATGAATACACGTAATTTTCAATACATATTAGGCGCACAAGAGTTAAATGTATGAGTGATACATCTAAGACTTAAACCTCTTTAGCTTTTCATTGACTGCTAAATTTCGGTGTTTAATGAAAATAAGAATAAAAAGAGAATAAATGAAAAGAAATAGAATAATTTTCTAATTTTACAGGTTAGAATAAATTAAGCTTGGGTCCCTTGTATGTATATAAAAATTACTAATTTAAAAAACTTACCAATTTGAAACCTTCCGACGAGGGTCATCCAGAAGTGAAGTTTTCCTACATCTTACTAAAGAATATCATTCAAGCTAGTCAAATTTCTTGAGGGGACTCGTCAAGCTTTTCATGGAATTTTCAAGAGGTATCATGTCTAATAAGTAGGTAAATTCATAAATTATCCGGTACGCTTTTATAATAGGTTAAAATTTTAAGATGCACCTTGAAACAGCTTTGATTTGAACCTCCGAGAGAGCTTAATGTACTAAAATCCCTATACGTTATGTATAGTTTTAAGGAAATATCAAAGGGCATCTTAGATGTCAGGACTGGATCTGAAATTACATTCTGAAATTAATTCTGAAATTGGGAATCTCAATGATTTACTAATTTCCATTTTCTCTCTAAAATTTGCGATGAGCAGGTGTTCGTTTTGTGTAAAACATGGCAAACTATTCCAAGCCGGAGGCATTTATTTCTCGGACAAATGTTGCTACTCGGCCTGTTCCTATGTTCCTGTATTGCCGCTGTGCTCACTGCTCAACCCTCAATATTCACCTGTGCTCTTGTTCGAATAGGCACTGGTTTAGGTAAGTATTCAAATTAATCTCAATCTTTTATTATTAAAAACTCAACTCCTATTAAAAAGTGTCTAGACATTCGTACATGTCCGTCCTTTAGGGCATCCTGGCGTTCTACAACACCCAAACACCACGTGTACCTATCTCTCTAAAGGTTATAGGACAACTTACAATGCAAAAAAAATAATAACCGTCCAAGAAGAAAAAAGATAAAAGTTTCCAGCTATCGCCAACAGGTCATTGGAGGGTATCTTCCTATCTCTGGATACGCTACACTCCAGAAATTTATGAACGATTGACGGTGACACTTAAATCTTCAAAATTAGTGCATATTTTATGAACTTTCTATTGGTTCAAGTATTTGAATTCTTTTATGGTAAGATGGACTATATAAATGGACTGTATTTTGCAATAGAGAATTTGCAGGTGTCTGAAATTTGATGAATTTCGTGTTTAAGTCGAAATTACTAAGTGAACTGAACACGAGGATACCCTTGATTCATTAATTGAACAATTATTGGAGAAGATATAACAAAATGATCTAAACTGCTAAAATATGTGCGTTTAAATGGGAAATGTCGCCAGATGACGTCACTAGGCGGTGCATTTTCTCACTTTTAAATCTATTTTTATACTTTTTCCCACATCGGAAAAAATTCTAGAAAATACAGTGAAATCAGCTCTTTAAGCACTTTCAGATGAAGCAATAAAACATGTGCATGTGCAAATTCTCCATTTGGAACTACAATATCCGGCTAGTGTAGAAACGACGTATGTACCAATACTTTCTCTATTCTTATGAGTGTTTCTACCAATAGGCTAGAGATTGTAGACCCTAATTGCAAACTTTAGTCAAAATTATTAAAAATAAAGTCAAAATAAAGTCAAATTTAGTCAAAATTATATTGTGACTTTCCTTACATGGAGGATATACCATTGTATGTTTAGATATACCTGTAGATTTTTCATCTTGGAATACAGAGAGTCAGAGTGTACTCACACACATTGCAGCAAAGCATTATAAATGCGCGCGTTGCGGCACGGCGCGGCGCACAGTGGACCCGAGTCAAGTAGAGAGGTCGGACATGAAATGTTTGACTAAAACTGCAACTTTTGGTGTTTATTTCGCCACATTTTAAATTTCAAGGGGTGTTTTTAGAAGGAAATTTCACGAGAAAACCAATGAGACCACTTTTAGAACCTCAAAGTTTTGTATATCGACGGTGAAACTACCAAACCACGTATCTCGGTTTGCGACGTCGCAGACTTCCTGTCATACTTTATTTTTTAAATTAAAAACTACTTAACGTCCACTCTTGAAAATTTCTGTGATTTTTCCTCTTCGTGCGGAGAAAATTCTGTGAAAATTTCAAGGAATGATATTGATTTGGTGTACTTCAAAAAAATAAAATGTGAGCGTAGATTTTTAAACACCGCAAACGAGATACGTGGTTTGGTAGTTTCACCGTCGATATGTCGCATGACAATTAGCAATCGCCGTCAATTTGCATGCGGTTCACACGTTGTTTCAATATATCGCAATAATGCGTAACGGCATAATGCAATTTTTATGGGTTATGGTCTTCAAAATTATGAGCTCGGCTTGAAGCGCCTTCGCTTTTTGTGATACTCTACGCTTTGCCACAATGTTAGTTTAGTTGCCTGTCCAATCTGATGTCACGGAGTTCACTGTACGCTCTTCTCAGTTTGCACATTCCTGCCATGTTTTTAAGGATGGAAAAAAGTCTAGGCAGCGTAATTACCGCTCTAATCTTGTTCGTTTATTTTTGAAAAATCTGATTTTCTATATTTATTCACCACTGGCTTGCAAATTGCCGGCGATTGCTAATTGCCTGCGACATATAGACGGAGTTATAAGCGTTTAAAGTTTCTAAATTTTGTCCGACCTCTCCTATTGATTCGATCACCGTGCGGCGTTGCGTTGGATCGCCGATTGGGCATCTTCGGATGATGATATTGTCTTGACCAGGAAGCAAGTCCTGGCGCACGTTACGCACGCGTGCGCTAAATCAACTTGATAGGTCTTTTACTCCGCCACGGAAAATCTGTCTGCGGCCCGTGGAAAAGTGACGTCAACTGTGCAGCGCACCGTGCTCGCGTCGGAAAATGCCCCTCCTCCCCTAACCCGTGGTCCACGTACTATACTTTCTTATTCCATACCGCTAACCCACTCGAAGGATGTGGCACTTCTGTTCTGATGAAAGTGAAAACTCAGTCTTTATGAAGAAAACACCGTTAGAAACTTTTAGGTTCTGTATGTATTGTCAATGGGCCTGTTGTAAACTTCAGCTACAGCAAAAATATGATTTATTTCTTACTGCAGACACCCTGCTAGAAACAGTACAAATGAGTAGAAAATCAAAGTCATATGAGTAAAATTTCAACCTATATGAGAAGAATTTCTCTATTCAGTTTTCGCCAACTCATATGGTTAGGTTCTCTCCTTTCTGGGCGTTTTTCTTCACTGGAAAAAAAAGAATCTTAAATTTGCCGCCAATAAGTATTTCTTCTTAAATCAAGAATTTTGCTGGTAAAAATAAGCTACTTTTTTGCTTAGCCCAAGCATTATTTTTCTTGAATCAAGAAAAAGTCAGCTTAAAGCGAGATAAAGACAATTTTTGGCGGCAAATTCAAGAATTATGGTGCTTGATCCAAGCTACTTTTTTTTCAGTGTAGCACGACAGCATTATTTAACAGGTGTGTTATGAATTTAATGGATATGTTGCAGGTTATTCGTTAGTGTTTTCAACTTTATTAGTCAAATGCGTGTTCTTGATTAGTCTCAACGGCGGCGTGTATCTGCCAGCCCCGTATCAGGCGCTGTTGCTGTTTTTCGCCGTCCTCATTCAAATTGCCATCGGCGCCCAGTGGATCATCAATGCGCCCCCGAAAGTTATTCAGGTGTGAAATAGTGATACTCCTTAATTGCTCCTCAAATAACCGGCCCTGCCCCTCGTCCCCTCGTCCTCTCATTCCTCAGTCTCCTTCTCGCTTGCCTCACCGACATTTTCATTGAAATTGAAATTGAAATGTTGATTGTCGCTCACCATTCCCCGACTAATTACACCGTTTAAAACTCCCGATCATTTTCCTACGGACCAACACCCAAAAGACAGAGACGCATCATTTCATACACTACTTGCTCATTTAAATCTCTCTCGAGTTGAACAGCTCGTAATTCCTCGTACAATTCGTTTGTGTACTTCATTTACCCATGGTGTGCCGTAACATAATTTTATATGAATCCCCGTTTGTAAATAATGTACTATGAAACATTAATCGAGGAGATTAGAGGACGAGGCGCATAAGTGCAGTTTTTGAAAAAAATTAGATAAGCACTAATAATTTCAAGCAAAACTGGTTTTAATACATATTCTGTGAAAAATTCGCTCCCAAATTCCAAATTTAGGCATTAAAAAGTTAGTTTCAACTTTCTTTCCGCCATAAGGATTCATGAGATTTCGAAACTTCAAACATGTATCTCTCGAAATAGCAGAAACCGCACTTATGCGTCTTGTCCTCCAAGCCCCTCATTTATGTCTTGTTTAATCTTTCAAATGTGAGGACTCCAGTACCGTATCCAAAGAGCATTTACCTCAGTCCGGCGCCTCAGTCTGTGTTGATAAAGTACGCCACGTTACCATAAGAATCCTTAATTTTGAAAAATGAAAAGTGAAGACAAATTCTAACAAGACCCCAAAGTAAGCGGTTCATTTGCTGATTCGGCTAGTGTCAATTAAACTACAAAGGACAGAAATTAGAATATGAGATCGACAAAATGATCAGCATTAAAACAAACTGGAGAGCAGCGTTCCGGAAATTTTCTTGATTATTTGATGACTTTGACAGGCATTAAAGAATTTAGAATTTGTCTGTAGCACAGAATATAATTTTTTTTTGTAAACTGAATGAAGGAACTAGGTACGCGCAAATAGATTAAATAAAAATAATCCTAACTCGAAATATGCGTGCCTAATAGCGTCTGCTTAATTTTTTTTTTTTTTTTTTTTTTTTTTTTTTTTTTTTTTTTTTTATAGCTCCATTTAGACATATAAGTCCGATTAATTATCAAAATCTATAGGAATGAGCACGATCCAAACATTGACGCTATTATATTTTTCATTCACATTTAAGGGCCTTAGAGAGCAAGTCGGCGCTCAAGAGCAGTCTTCGAAAAAAATTGAGGTATCAATTATTTCAATCGAAACTAGTCTTCAAATATATTGGGTGAGAAATTCATTGCAGAAATTCAATTTTCAGGCATCAAAAAGTGAGTTTGAACTTACTTTCCGCCAAAAGGCTCCATGTAATTTTGATACCTCAAACACTAAACCGACACTAGTCCTACACTAGTCTTACGCTAGTCCTACACTAGTCCTAATCCACTAGTAATAAACACTAGTCCAGGAATTATACGTCAAATTCAGCCAGCTATGAGAAAAAATAAGCTAAGGAAAATGAACAGTAAGCTCACTTTTGGCATAGTGAGCCCTTATGACCCCCCCCCCCATCCCCTCAAAAAAGTACACGTATTTTTTGAAATATCAAAAACTGCACTTATGCGCCTTGTCCTCAGAGCCCCTCATTTATTTTTTTATTTATCCATTTATTAGTTTAATTCTTATACAAAGATATACGGGGCCAAAAGGGCCCCAAAACATACTTTAATGAGACCAATACTACTTAACTACGGGGTCTGGATCTAACTACAATTTAAAAAGAGCAAAAAACAAAAACAATAAATAAAATAGAATGGAATAGAAATAAAAATTGAAATTTAGCGAAAAGGGCCATAAAAAAAAAAACCCATAAAATTTATTTAGTACAAGCATCAAAGCTTATACGTCATAATTATTTTTTCAGTTTTAATGTATTAAAATTACACGCTACTCGCTTGAGCATGTCGAAATAATAATTACTAAATGTTGTGTTTGGACAGTCGGAATACGGGTACGAGACCTGTCACACCCCGTACCACCACCTGCTACTCTCGCTGATCTACGTGGTGTTCCTGATCGTGGTGGTGGCGGTGCTGTCGGTGAAGTCGCGGGCCATCCGGGACAACTACCGCGAGGCGATGTTCATCGCGGTGGCCGTGTTCTGCATCATCCCGGTCTGGATGAGCTGGACCATCAGCGGCCTCTTCACGATCGAGAAGAACCGCGACGCCTGCATCTCCTTCGGGCTCAGCGCCTCCTCCACGCTCATCTTCCTCATCATGTTCATGCCCAAGGGTCGGCAGCTGGCCGCCATGGGCCGCGACGGCATGTACCTCGAGGACCGCGACGACAAGTTCAGCTCCCTCTCCGGGGCGGCCTCCCCCTCCTTCTTCCACTTCAAACCCGTCAAAACCAACTTCATACCCAACAAAGGCCATTCCATCAACACCTTCGGCGCGAAAAACCCGCTCTTTTATGATGGTAAGTCCACTCTTTTCTCTTCTGAATCGCATACCAATCACTGGGAAAAACACATTGGATCTAGAGTCCAGACTCTTGAAAACGTTGACAAGAAAAAATACTCTTGATTTAATCAGATTTAAGCTTTAACCAAAAGGAAATCCGCTCAAATTAAGAGGCTTGGTTCTTGATTTAAGCAAAAATTCGATTGAATCAAGAGTATTTTTTCTTGTCGATGTTTTTAAGAGTCTTGACTCTAGATCCAATGTGTTTTTTTTCCAGTGATACTACCTTGCTAAGGAAGAACGCCGCATGAACCTTCAGGCGTAGCCTAATTTCCTCTGATAAATTAGAAATTTTTTGGGGAAATGATCGATATTTTTCTTCCAATTTTTCAGACAATTTTGTTCGCAATTTAATCTAAAATATCTGAAAATTTCAAGGAAAAATGAGCATTAATTTCATCAAAAATACATGTTTCATACGGGGAAATTTGGCAACTCTCGAATGTTCATACAGCGTTCTTCCTTAGCACGGCAGAACACAGGGAGAAAACTCAACACAAAAGTTTTTATTTCCCCGCTTTCATAAACATACCACAAAAATACTTAGGTGCTTCGATAGAAATGGTCCGATCCGGCTTGGAAACTCCGCGCGAGACCCAGAGTGACCGTCATATATACGGACCGCGTTAAGCAGAAAGGAACCAAGCCACATCAGCTATTGCCAAATTCAATCGGGCATTTTAAAATTTTATAAGTAAAAGGTTGTTCGGGTATTTGTACAAATGTCAATAAATTTTCTACATAGTACGAAGCAAATTCCCTAAAATTTTCAAAGGAAACCACATACCCGTTCTCTTGTAAAAAATTAAATTGCCTAGTTAAATTTGGCAATAAGTGGTGTGGTTTGGTTTCTTTCTGTTAAACGCGGTCCATATTACAATGAAATCTTCCAATGAAAAATGAATAACAAGTTGTATACTGTCGCATTTAATCTTGAAACTTTCCGAATTCCAATGGAAAGGAAAGCTCCTGTCTAGTTATGGTTGCATCCACTCGCAATCGTGCCAACACAATGTAAAATCACTAGATTCTACCAAGCAGCGTTACGCACGACTTTACATGTACACAATTCCACGTCCCCAACAACCGATGCAAGAATAAAAAACAATGAAGGACCAAAGACCTGAGGGAGAATCTTAATTGCAGTGGCAGTAGTAGTCAAAACCCGTATCTCGTCTCATTCTGTTAAGTTCGCCTTACGATAATTGAGATGGCAAAATGAGCACCTTTGAAACACGAATAGTTGCTCAGTCTCGGTAAGGAGCACACGTACGTCCATTTCTTTCCTCACTGCGTCGAGTGCGCCTTCAATAATTGCGATGGCAAAATGAGCGGCTTTGGAACACGAATAGTTGCTCGTAGCAGGAGCATAGTCATTTTGGCTCTATCCCGGCGAAGAGCACACGTACGTCAATTGGACCGCGTTAAACAGAAAGGAACCAAGCCACATCAGCTATATTTCCAAATTTAATTGGGCAATTTAATTTTGTTTATGTGAAAACGGTTGTGCGGATTTTCGTGCGAATTACAGTGAATTTTCTCCATAGTACGAAGCAAATTCCTTAAAATTTTCAAAAGAATCCGCACAACAGTTCTCTCGTAAAAAATTAAATTTGGCAATCGCTGATGTGGCTTGGTTCCTTCCTGTTAAACGCGGTCCAATTTCTCTCCTCACTGCGTCCAGTTCGCCCTCAATAAATTGTGATGGCAATATGAGCGGCTTCGGAGCATGAATAGTTGCGCGCAGTAGTTTTGTCACTTCAGCTCTGTTCCGAGAAGGAACACACGTTCCTTACTCTCCTTACTACCTTTTAAGTATAACATTTTGACAGACTTGTCCTTCATTGTTTATTATTTTTGGAAACTGCGAGACATGATGACAGTTATCATGGGTTTCTCGCGCGGAGTAAAATCTTCGTTTGATAAAACTGGAACGATTCATACACCTTAACTTATACCTGTAGAGTATGTTTTTCTTGTAATGTGTGAGCAAGATAAAATATGCGCAAAATATGAGGTAAGTGATTTTCAAACTTTGGCAACGAGGTCATCGTGATTTTTCACGTGGTTATACACGCATTTTTATGTACTCTTCACGAATTCACGCACTCTGCTTACAAACATCACCAATTCTGTTCTCCCTGTTCAGAGGCACTTGTCTTTTTTTTTTTTTTTTAATTTAAATTTGACTGCTGTTAAGCCATATCGTGTATATGTATAGCATGGTTTGAAGGACGCTTTTTTGTGCGTACCTCATATGTTTGCACATCTTGACGTCATCATTCTCTTGAGTTATCAGGTGATTCGATGATGAATGAAAGCTCATATTCGAACATGGTAGCTGGAATAGGATAGAATATGAAATGAATGTAGCATGTAGTGGAGAGGCCTTAAGCAACGGGTAGAATTTTGCACAATTGACACTATTTTTCTGTAATTATAAAAGCATTCTGAAAAAGTTTAGGAGCCGATCATAACGAAACATGATTCCCCTTAAAAATTTTATGGAGGACACGGTGGATACATACAAAATGCCCGCAGTTCACTTACAAATGAAAAATAAGCGTTCGTAAATTTACCTAATTGTTTAAGTAGACAAATTGAGTATTTAAGTAATTTCAGTCTACTTAGCGGTGAAATGATCTTGGTGTAGGTCTAAGGTCTTCAGGTAATTTATCCTGACAAGTTTTCAAAGGACAGTGCCTTAGAGGAGGACGAGATGACTTTTTATGCGGGACCCAACCGGAGCTGGTTGCGGTTAATTGCCGAAGTTCGGATTATTCCAATACCTCCTTGGATCTACTTCGATTCAATATTTTTCGGGGATGAAACTTTTGAATCGACTTTTAATGCGAGCGCTTAAGCTTGATTTTCACCATAACGACGGTGTAAGTCTACAACCACGTACTTTATTTTTTAAACAGAAAACTACTCTACAGGAATTCTTTAAAACTGCCTTGATTTGTCCTCTCTGTGCGAAGAAAATTCCGCAACAACTTCAAGAAATAATTTCAATTGGTTCTCTTTAAAAAAATAATATTGAGGCGAAGATTTTCGAACACCGCAAACGAGATATAGGTACGTGGTTGCGGACATACGCCGTCGATATATACCATTGTACATATTACGCACCGAAGTTTTTACCAACATGCAGCATCGGATTTTAGTTGGTACTTGATCGATATTGGTTGATGCATTATTTTTTTTTTAGATCGTGTGGCACTCGTAGCTGCACCGCCAAGTTATGGGCACCATTACTACCCTTATTGTTATTACCCTCATCCTCTTCTCCATACACACACACGCAGTCCACCAGGTAGGTTATATTAGTGATTCCGACTTTGGACGATCATGTGTTTAACCTTGTGCCTGAGGCCTGTGCAGTCTATAACCCTGTATTAACATCTTTCGGAACTGTCCTTGTTCTTACTTATTCTCTCTCCGATTTACATTGATGCATTTTTTAATCTTTTAAGAAGCAAAATTAACCCAATTTCATGCTTAGAAAAAATTGTAAGTGATCATAATTTCACGAAAGTGGTGGAATTGGGCGAAAGGGCCCTGAGGTATTAACTTCAACTGTTCACCGTAGCGAAAAAATCGATTTGGGCTGAAACACGTCGATTTTCAGTTTTTGTTGTGATAAATACTTCCGAGTACTGCCAAAGACATATTTAATCAAAATTTTAACCCATTAACTTTCAAGAATCGTTCCGAAGACTGAAAATTGAGCAAACAAAATTTAACCGCGTTTTTTTTCAATTTCCGTTTTTCATTCTCCTTAACTCTGACTTCCTTCAAGAGGGTTAATATTTAGAATTTTTTCATGTTTTGTATTCACTCCAAACTGTGCTGCTCTTCAGTGGGTCCTCTCAAGGAAAAAAGTTCTTACTCGCTCGAGGAAACACGGATACAGCGCTATTAAGCTATGTTTATGAACCGTCCACGCTTTTGAAATTTCCATAAGAAATTCGAAAAACTACGCTCATTTAGCAAAATGTTTTTGAATGTACATACAGTGAAATCTTACTTTTTGTACTGTAATGCATGCAGCTGCAATAACGCAGCTTATCTGGAAGTTGGTGTGTAGTGCATGGAAAAAGCCATATCTAAAATTGTTATGTTGTAAAATTAATTTTGCTCATATATGGTATTATCGCATGCGTGTTTGATACTTTGCATGCTTATTTGTACCTTCTCAAGCATGCTCAAATGTTAGAAGTTTCGTGAAAAATTTCTGTAGGCTTTCTCATACGGATTGGCAGAATAAAGTACGTCGAGTTTTGAAATGATAACTATTGAATTTAAAAAAAAAGAAAAACGTTTGAGGTCTCTTCTCCTTCCTTACTTAAATTTACTTCACTCTAATCATGTATTCAATTTTTTTAGGGGGGGGGGGATCCTCAATTCTTAGTTACAGCAGGGGTTGACCTGGGTATTTTAAGTTTAGCTCTTTGATCTTTACACTTTTTTTTACCCATCCAATGAGACGAGGACAAAATATGAACTGTGCTAGACCCTGGTAAACATTGGCGATAGGAGCTGCGTTTCAAAATACCATAGAAGTTCTTATAGCCGACTAAAGAAGGCGATAGAAAATCATATAGCTGGCTGTAGAAAGTGGAAAAAATCTTACGGCCGAGCTACACGAAGCGATAAAAAATTATACAGCCGGGCAAAAATTATACAGTTTCTCTCGCCGGGCTTTACACTTTATCGCCTGGCTGTTGCTTTTTCGCCATCGGCTATAAAAGGCTATAAGAAATAGTGTAGAAATTCGTGTGCTTTGGAAATCCTTAAGTTTGTACGGAGTCACCTTAATATTTACAAAACGCACATTATATTTTCCTTTACTACATATTTTTTTTTTCATCAATGAAAATGAGAAGAATCCATACAGAGTGTGCAAACATTTCAAAGTCATGAGTTGAAAAACGCTGACTCCACGAGATTAAATAATAGAGCCTAACACAAAGCGGAGCGGCGGCGCACTGGCGCCTACAGACCTAACAGGGATACTTCACGCATTGCGCAATGCGTGAAGTATCCCTATTAGGTTTGTAGGCGCCAATCCGCGTTTCGCGTTGGCTGCCCGCCCGCCACGCCGCGCCGCGGCGTACCACGGCGCTTGAAGCAACTATTTCACACCAGGGGTATTGCACAGTATCATACGAAATTGAAGGCGCTCCAACATATTAGGAATGGCAGGCATTCTTCAAAAGTACGGAGCTTTCCTCGCAAAATAAATCAAGATACCACGGCCCAAGAAGAGAGCGGTAGTCCAAAAACTCACTAAGTCCTAGCATCCGGAATTAGTAACGATTAGCATACACTTTATCGCCAGGCTGTTGTTAGACGCCATCGGCTATAAAATGCTATAAGAAATTGTGTTACCGGCTATAGAAGCTATTGGAAATCTTACAGCCGGCTGTAGGTCTATGGTATTTTGGAACACAGATTCTACTGCCAATTTTTACCAGGGGAGTGGATCAAGGCTCATAGACTTTGTTGTTTTAAAATTGCTCTAAAATTAACGAAAACAAGTAGAAAAAATAAACGGATCGTTGCACCTTGATACATCTCATGACTATGTATTGTCTCATGTCTATGTGTCAAGTTTAGACTGTAGTATTGATGTAGTGATGCCATAAATCTCGTTCTTGGTAGGTCTTTAAATTTGTGTACCTATATATTTACATTAAAGGATTATATCTTCTCGTGGGGAAGGTTTACGCAGACTCACAATAATTATCCCTGTTGATGATGTTTAACTGATAGTGCAACTAAAATCCAATAACCGCGGGGTATTACAGAATTTACGTAAGCGCGGTCTCGGATTTTGGCCTTCACTATAGGTAATACATTGAAGACTTAAGTCGAAAAATGTGTACCTTCATATAGATGCTTAAAAATCTCCCATGGTTTATTCTTTTAAAGGAAAGCAACCAAAATTGAAGTAATGATGGGAATACATGGAAAATTATCAAGAAAAACTGGTCGTTAGTTGTATTTTAAAAAATAAAAAATGCGGAGGCTTGCAACGTCGCAGTCAAAGAAACGCTCTCCTTGCCATTAGCCATGGACTTAAGAATCGATGCAAAGCAAAAAAAAAAAAAAAAGAAAAGACAAACATTTCTCACTAAGAGCGACGATTTGGACCACCAAAAATCGAGAATGAGAGGAAGTTGGTTATCACTTACTCAGATCATATCTCATACCGTTGGGGGAGAGATGAGCTGTGTGGGCTGTCTTCTCCTAAAATTCTGCCGTGCTTCAATTTAAGTGATTTCCCCCTTCCTATCACATTAATCACATTATTGGTGTGTTCATAGCCGTTTCTGCGGGGGTTTTCCTTGTTTGTGTCTCACCAATTTCAGCGACGGTTGAGAGCGTCCGAAGCTCGATCTTCACATCCTTCCATGCAGGCATGTGCAAAGTTAGTTTTATCCTTTGCCATTGTTTGTCTCTGTCCTGCACTATAATCATTCTTCGACATCTTTGTTCCATCCTTTTCCCCTTTTCGTTGCACCTTACATTATTTTTAAAATGCTTTTCCTCCTTTTTGTATTGCAGGTAGCGGAGTGATCGATGCCAGCGTATATACATCGGTCGAACCAACTCTGTCTAGTAATCCGAACGTATTCTTCCATCGAACTGGCATTCACCCAGGAATGATGTATTGACATTTACCACGTCTTATCATGTTACCACGTGCTCAATTAAGGAAACAAAACGATACTCAGTAGTAGTATAGATTAGTTCTTCGAAAACTTGCCCTTCGTCCGGTGACGTGGCATGTTTTGCGATACATCGATCGATCTGCTATTTAAACCTATGGAAAAGGATCGAAAAACAGGGTGTTCGCAACGAACTCCTTGATAATCGATTCTTTACCATGGTTTCTTATGGGGAAATATCGATAGTCATTCACGCCTCGCCACTGCCCTTGTCTCAATGTAAGTAAAGCGTTTTTAAGTCTCAGTAATGCGCCACACTGCCTTACCGAGGGAACTTTTCATATTGAATTGGACTTGTCACTACGGGCCTTTTTGAGCCTCTTTTTGGCTCGAATCCTCATGAAATTATGCAATGGATTAGATTGATGAGCGAGACTTTCAGAATGTCCTTGCGTTGATTGATTTCAAGCTCTCATCAATTTTAATTCTGTCTCGTTTCAAAAAAGCTGATTTCCAAGCGCTTGTGGAACAAGGACACTAACGTTTTATTGAAATATTTTGCGTTGACTAATTTTTTTCTTTCATGAAAAGTGAAAAAAACTTAAAAGGCTAGGAAACTTTTTTTCTACAAAGGAAAAATTTTCACTGCCATTCCACATGACCGAGATGCTACCCCTTACGCACAATATATAAATATTTGTTTTCATTTCTTCAATGGAATTTTCGTCCTGAAATAGAATCACATCTCCAATAGCCCTTATTCTCTGACATTAATTTTGAAAGAGATTCGGCAGGTACTTCTTGATTGAAAAGTATTTAGTTAAAATTAAAAAATTATAGTGATATTTTGTAAATATTTTCCATTCGTGTGATGAAAAATGACTGAGTTTGCTATAGTTCACAGACCAATATTACAAGGACGATTTCAATGTTAAGTTGGTGAAGATATATATATATATATATATATATATATATATATATATATACACACTGCAATCTGTCGATACAACTTATAAACTGATCCTATACAACCTTGCATGAGGATCAGCATTTTAAACCTTCATGGTAGGAGTAGGTAGTGCTGATGTATGATAGGCACTAAAAGTGCTCGAAATACTTGAGATAATGATCCACTCTTCCTTTTTTTCGATTCATAGGTACAATTTTTATCTCAAACCTTGGCCAAAATAATAAATCAATTTAAATCCTTTGTGATCGGCAGACAAATATCCTCAAGTATACAATGTGAACCTATAAGTATGCTCCTACCTAAATCTATGCGATTTATCCATCCTGTTGTCCGAAAATTCAAATGATTGTAGGTATTAATTTATTTATTTATTTTGAGGGAAAAACTTGATATGAGGAAACCTAAATCACAGACCTTTTATCTTTCTTTCATGAAGGTAACTGGAAGTAGTTAGCTCGTAAAATTCGTGTTATTTAACTTCGGGAGCTCAAAGTCTCAGAGAACATTTCATCAATAAAAAATCATAACAAAAATGAATTGACTAAATAATTTCAGTGACTAAACAGAGGTAAAAAAACACTGAATAATAACCAAATGTATAGATGCTCTCCAGCATTATCTTTGTGACTATCACTCATCTGTGTGGATTGTGAGTTGGTTACAAATTCAAAATATCGGCAGAGGTGTTTAAAATCGCTCTTGAAATGTAAATCGTCATTTATCACACTCATCTTTCATCGATATTTATGAACATGTCAATTTTTGTATTAATGTAAGTAATTTGTGCCAAATTAAACTAGCTTGCTCTCTCCATATTCTATACTTTTTTATTAGATCTACGTCACGAACAAGAGCACAGGGCTGAATTAAGTGTCGAAAAAAGCTCTCGAATAATGCGGAATGTATAGGAACTCGACTCGAGAAACTTATTACTAGGTTCCTAGGGACCTTCACAATTGCAAGACGTACCCACAAAAATTTTAAAAAAGAAAAAAGAAAATGAAAAAAAAAGAAAAGGGATAGCAAAGGAGCCGTTTAAAGGCTCGGCGACTGAAAATAGTCATTGGTAAAAAAAAACTCTGTATAAATTCCAGCTTTTACAATCGTTAATCACGGAAACTGTCGTGTAATCTTTCATTGCTCTGCCTTTTCCTTAAGCCCCCTTGAAAGAGCTATGTGCATTAAAATGTTGATTTTCATCGTCTCCTTGTGATCGAGACTCACATTTACTTATAACGGACGATTCCCGTGGTCAGAAGAATCTTTAAAATTATACTTAAGTTTATATGGAATATTCATTCAAGCAAGCAAGTAATAATTGTAAAGTCATTGTTCATTTTGCTCAGCTACTCAATTAGTGTAAATTTGTAAGATTTGTATTATTTCCTGATGACAATTTACATAGTTTCTATGAATAAAGATTGTGCAAATATAGATACTTTTTTCTCTACTCATCGTCACCACTCCCTGTTCCTCCTTCCAGAACGATGACTAATTTGTCCGCAAAGGTTGAAAATTTCAGTTGAAAGACTGGAAATCAATGCTGTGATACGACTCAAAATCATTTCTAAAAAAAATTCTCCAGAACCCCACACCCTCTTTTTTTAAATAAAAATGATAGTTTGTTGCCTATTGAATAAAATGCATACACAAGTATTCAAACAACACATTCTAGGCACTTGTTTTTGGTCCTACGCGATCTATGTTTTACGGGTCATCATCAAAATATGAGACCTTTAATAAGGAAATTACGTCACATTGTACACTGAGAAAAAACTATGGTTTATAAACCTATTAGAGGTAAATATGGAACACCTATAATAGTCGTAAATAAACTAATGATTCTCGGTCTGTGAACCATACTAAGGTCTCTGTACCTAATAAATGTACCCCGTACCATAACTAAGGTATATGTGCTATTATTATATGTAGAGGTACTACTATTAGTGGTGTTCCATATTTACCTCTAATAGGTTTATAAGCCATAGTTTTTTCTCAGTGAGGGGAGTAAGTCCGACACGACGCACAGTGCATTGAGTCAATTAGGGAAGTCGGACATGAAATTTTCAACAAAAACTGTAAATTTTGATGTTTATTTCTGTACATTTTAAATGTTAAGGGGTCTTTCTGGAAGAAAATTTTAGGAGGAAACCAGTGGAGCCTTTTTTAGGACCCCTAAGTTTTGTATAAACGGAGTTATAAGCGTTTAAAGTTTCTAAATTTTGTCCGACCTCTCCTATTGACTCGATCCAATGTGCGACGGGTGCGTGACGAAGAAGGATGGGTTCTGCAGCTGTGTGACGTCACGTGAATTAGCGTAATAGTGAGAAGTATCAATTGATTTCGATAGGTTGGAGGGATATTTTATGTAAAAAAGAAAGAGCCTAGCAAAGTATGATAAAAATTTTCAGATAGAGAGAAGGCATACTTGCGTGGCAGGTGCGTGGTAAGAGAGGAGGGGGGGAATACATATTGATAATGAGTGCAATACAAGTAATGAACGGCCCTACGTAAAGTTAAAAATAGCGCTCATGGATTGGAAGGAAGGACTCCAGCACAAAATAGCCTGCCGATCGGCGAGACGCAACCATCAATACATCACGAGACGTGGCGCAGCGCGAGGCCCCGCCCCAGACAGACCTTACATTTCGATGGCGAAAGTGCGATACCACGTATCTCTATTGCGATGTTGCCAAATTTCCGTTCCTATTCATTTTCCGAAGAGAATCAAGTCAACTTTGTAGCGTGAAAATACAGAATATTCTGCCAGCAGAGAAGAAAAATCAAAAATGTTTTTAAAATAAATTGCGTTGACTGGTTTTCAAAAAAAAAAAAAAAAAAAAAAAAATTAAATCAGGATGTTTGCGACGCGACGCCGGGAACGGAGAAACGTGGTGTCGTACTTTGCCCATCGATTTATATTTACAAGGGAACCCTGAAAAATGGGGTCCGTGAAGTGCATAAATCATGTTTTGATGTAAAATCATCCTTATCTCAATAACTCCAGATTGATAAAACCCTTTGGGGGAGCAGAAGGGGAAAAAGTAATAAAGGAGAGAGAAAAACTGGGTACCGTAATAATAATTAAACGTGTACTTACCGTAACATGTTAGTACATTTTACTACATAGTATAATACCGTTTCTTTTTTTCTTTGTATAGAGATACTGTTGAATAAACTGCAGTCAGAACTCATTACAAGAGGTTAAATGAACGTTTTTATCCCGCTATTTATGATTGATGATGTTACTTACGAATTCTTAGTTGATGAACACAAAGACCGAGAATGTAACACAATCGGCATGTAACACAGATTAGCACCTACAAGACTGCACGGATACTTCACGCATTGCATCAAACATACAGTGCGGTTATTGTGATCAGCGTGAAACGGATAGCGCCTACAAGACTGCGTGAATACTTCACGCATTGCGCAAAACACAGTGCGGTCGGCGCGGCGGCGGAAGTTAAAATCATTAAACCGAAGTGTTTGTTCTTTTACAATTTTTTCGTTCCTTTCTTATGAATGGAAGGCCTTGTCCATTAGAGATAGGTTTACGAAACTTGACTTTCGCGCAAAGTTTCGTGACCTTTCGCTAGTAGTGTTGATAGGGCTTTCCCAAAAATGTGTTCAACACGAGTAAACGCGTCTTATGCACACCTCCCCTGCTGGCACGTTCACTTGATGGTTTTTATTGATGTTCCAAAACGAATGAGAAGGGGGCGTCAAAATACAGGCGGCCCATGGGCGGCAAGTAGGAAAATCCGGCCCTGCACATGGATCGACGCAGATTCGCTGAGTAAATACTAGGTAGATAGACAGATTCGTTTTTATTACCTTCGATGGAATTATGTCGATCAAAACAATCCCGGTCCATTCTTCAACGAAATTTCAACAAGTTGCTCAATTATTGAAGTGAGTAATATTAAAATTATAGGTAACTTATGGCTAAGCAGGTAGACCCGTGACTTCAGTCACAGTTCAGTCCGGCTTTTATTCAAGAGCTGCCCAACATTTCCTGCGAATGTTGGTTGAATGTATTCACGGAAAACGAAGCGATATTTCGGTTTGTTTTTCTGTTTCTTCGAACAACAAAAAAATTAAGCATGGTCCAAGATTCGAAAATTCTGTATTTAAGATACATGTTTTCCCCTGAAGTATGATAAAACTGCGAGTTGAGATCTCAAGAATGATACCTATGACGTGTGGTCCCAGTTTAGCAGCGTCTGGCGCCGCGCTAGCCAGCGCAGCAGTGTGACGCGCCTTCAATTCCAGCTAGCGGCAATATGGGCATCACCCGCGATCGAATAGTTATCTCACAAACGCCCTCCCTAAGTGATGTCTAATATCGCAAAAAACCTGTTTATCTCCGATTGCAACGTTGCACACCTGCACTCATGTTTCATTCTTTCATTTGTACTTAATTTTCTCTTTTAAAAAAAAAAAAAACTAAACAACAGTTTTACTTAATGTTTTCAGCGATTTTCCTACATCATATTAAATATATTCTCAGACGGGAGAGAGTTTTTTCTTTCTTTTTTTTTCTTTTGGTATACTATTGGAGAGGAAGCACAATTGTCTCTGACTTGAAGAAAATCTTTTGGTAAATGGTAAAAAGTAAAAATTGATAACTGAAGATTTATATTAAAAAAGTTATTGGCCCATGTTTGAAAAAGTACGATTGGTTTAAAACTTAACACAATTTTTTTTTTTTGTATTGGTACCTACTGGAAAATAGGGGGCTTAACTTTACCAATTTTTTTAGCATGTTGAGATAACCTAGCAAGTACGTTTTGCCTGCTTCTAAATTTTGGTGCTATGGTCGGTTGGGAAAATTGTGCTTATTCTGTTTGCTTATTTTGGGAGTGATCACTAGTTCTTTTGGTAATTATTTATAAATAATGAATACACGAATTGAATACAAGGAGAAAAAATCATAATAGAAAAATATTTTTTTGGTATTTAAATGAGCATCATAAAACTGGAAATGATATGACTGTCACATTGAAAAATTTTGCATGAAAAAATGAAAATAATTAGCAGCAGCTTGCTCAATTCTTTCAGTAGTAAACTTAAGTTGTGATTCAGTACACAGCAAACAGGTTCAAAAGGAGGAATAAGAACAGAAAAATATGGAAGAGGATCACCTTTTTATTAATGAAAAAAAGGAACCTTCAAACAGAGGAAACACAATATTTGATGAATTACAAATACTTATACCATAGCTCATAGTTATGTGTTATGGAAAAATGCATGAAGAGAGATGAGAGAAGAATAACATATCACGGGCTTTCAAACTCACTGGATGAACATGAATACATCTGCACTTAATGGGTAGTGTCTCCAGAGAAAATGTCAAGGTTGAAAATTAGGTATCATTTAAGGAGCTGAAACTCTTTGCAAGCTTTCTATTTTTCGTGAGATAAAAACCGGGAAATTAATACAGAATTAGTATCACTAGACAAAAAATAATTCAGTAGTAAATTAGTAGCTAATTAATATGATACCTTTGGAAAAAGCATTAATTCATCTCTTATAATTAAGCAAAATCCCTCAAGTGGCGGGAAATAAAATGAATAAAATAACTTAAAAGTAAGCATGTAAATGAAAACAGGAAATCGATATAGCCATAGGCAATATGGAGAAGATGCCTTTCATACATTAAAAACCATTGGGTGTAAAAAACAATACGATCATGAACTAACTGCTAAAACTCTTGTTTCTAAGAAATTTTAAACAAAGAAGGAGTCTTATGCTGAAAGGTATTAATCAGCCTTTTTATACTTCGAACATTTCATAATTCAATAATTTTTGCTTATTGCCACTTTTTTCTAAACAATGATACGGAAATATAGATATCTACAAAAACTAGGAGCAGCAGCGGTTTAATTACATAGGAGTCAAGAAGAAAAGTGCCTCATTCTTTTTTTTCTCCAGAAAAATAGGCATTTCCATAGTTCTGAAATGGCTTAGATTATAAATTCTTACTAAATCTAGATTTTGTAATCAATGGCTTGGATGACTCGCTTTTTAATAACCCTCCTAATATTTTCAAAGCACAAAATTAAGGTGCTGAGTGCTGAAAGGTCACTTTTCTGAATGTAATTAAAATGGGAAAAGTGCCCTGTCCCCACTCACCACCTTGATTTTGACAGAATAACTCTGGAAAGTTGCGCATTCATTTTTTTTTCTTAAAAAAAAGGAGCACACCTGTCGGACAAAATTAAAGTATAAAATATTTGTAGGAACAACAAGCCGGAAACAAGGGGCAAACATTTTGTTTTTGTTGAGTGGCAAAAAAGCAAGATATCAGTGGGTGGATTGTAACTCTCAAAAGCTTTCCCAGTTTCAGTTAGTCAATAATGACAGAAAAATTGACAGTTTTAAATGGTTGGGTTTATCATAAATATATGTAATCTTCGAAAAAGCTTAAAGGTGGATAATGTTCAAGGAATAGAGATGAATTAGAAATTGAATGAGAGTTCAACAAAGAGGTAAAACCCAATTTTCGTAGCAATGTCTTTGAATCTATGATTAGCCAAGGAGATCTACAATGGCTAAGAGAACTTTATGACTTACATTAAATATCCGCAGGTAGGAAAATAAAGGTAGATAAAAATCACAGGCAACAATATTGAAAAAATCACTGCAGGCAAGGGGGGAGGGGGATTCCAGTTTCCATTACATATCAAACTATCAGAATTATGAAGAATAGAGACGGAAAAATAAAATTTCTATCGCCAAAAATGAAAATACGTAAACAGAGGTACACTTAAAAGAGAACCGGAAACAAGCTTTCCTCTGAAGAATTCGCACTTAAAACAAAATTACACTTAAACTTCTAAGGTCACTCGATGAGCTGAAAGTGGAAAAATAAAATAAAAAAGACTTTTTAGTTAGTAATGTAAAAAAATAAGGATATAAAAAATCTGATTTCTGGCTGTCACAGCACACTCTATATTATTTTATCTCATCTTCAATGTGTGGCATACTCAATTGTTGGAGATAAATACAACTGTGACAAGACACTAGAAGGCCAGTAAGATCTCACGATTTCACTTGCTGCTGATACCCAAGAGTCAGTCTCTTTACCAAATTTCAGTCCTTGTAATCCATTTCCCCACGATATATCCAGGCTTGAATTGCCACAAGTTTCCGAAATAGCCTTTCTCACTAATAATTCATGACTGATCCATTTCTCAACATCAGCATTCAAGTTCAATTTAGATTCAAATACTCTCAAAACCGCTGCCATTTCATCTTCATTTAAGTCTATTTCATTAGCAACACTAGTATTGGAAGAATCAGGAGTTAAAACAGGAGAGTCGGAAGAAGTGCCAACATCCGTTGATAATTTAGAGAGTTGACTCAATGCAGTGCTAATCTGACTCACAGCCACAGATGATCCAAGGACAGTCAAGACAAAGGCAATGTAACTTGTAACACAGACAGCAGAGATCTAGAACATAAAATTCAAGATAACTCATAAATTTTGTTGAAAAATTAGTTATGCTAAAAAAATCATGTTTGGCAATAAGTCTGATTCAATAGGTACATATTAGATGGGTAGATGCATAATGTCTCAACTAAAAATAGGTTCATGATTAAGATGGAATTTTTTCCCTTTCTGTAAGAGTTGAGGGCATTTTTATTTCTTTAAACTTTTTTTTTAAAATATTAACAGACACAATGGACTTCTCAGCAGTGTAAGAATTCAGTACTACGAGACATGCTCCTACACTTAAGTTTTATGCAGGCTCTGTTAAACATAAACCTATCAAAAACTTTTGAAAGCTGCTTATGAAATTCATGTTTGTTGTTACATTAGAATCAGTTGAAATTTCCTGGACCCAAGGACAATCAAAATTAGTGTTGGTTCAATAGAGATTGAAAACAATCTAGTTCGCCCCACTATTAATAGACTTTAGCTTAGCAAAGTTTAACTACAACTGTAAATCACAAAACTCAGAAACTTGTAAAGAAAAATTTAGTGTGCATAAAATTATTTTGCTTTATCAAACGCGTATGAATAGTATAGTTTTACCTTCGATATGACTTTGAAAGACTTTTGCATTTATTAAGAGCATATAAGTTTTACTTAACAAACAAAAAAACGCCTTTTTCTCACTTGTAGGTTGAATTTGGAAACACTCAAGTTGATCACTGTATTTTACAGTTAGTTTCAATACGGAACCATATGCTGAAGCGTTTCTTTTTTTACCCTGTTTGGTGGTCCGTTTGCTGGTAAATAGCCAAAATATTTAAGGGCATTTGATTACGCCCAATAGTGAATTTGACTGTCCTCATTCTGACTTATCATCAACTGCAGCTGGATTTTCCCTCTTGAGCAACATTTTGAAATTGAACAAACACAGAGGGGAGTATGACAAAATGCTTAAGCTCAAATAACTTAATACATTACTCATGCTCACATACTAAGTTCTAATGGGACTACTACGAGACGTCTGTTTCATAAAATAAAATAAAACAAATTCCAAAAACTTCCCTAAATAGGCGGAAAAAGAAAGAAAAAATGTTAAGAAAATCAGCATCTTCAGATCCTTTTCGAAAAGCAATACTTCTCATTCCTGCAAGCTTTTCTTCAATGCAGCTGAACTTCCATTCAAACTATGACCAAGAACATTGTTGGCAAATCGTAATTTGTGTTTCTGACAAACTAAGGTTCTTCTGCAGAAAAGAGGAAACGCTGAAAACTTCAATATTATTATTACCGTGAAGAATGATCTTGCTGCAGACAGAAAATCAACCATTTCTAGTAAAAACAGCAACTCTGTGTATGAGTAGTAACCTCTTTTGCGCCCTTCTTTCAATGCTAAATAAGATTCTAGATCTTCCAGTCTTGTCATAAATAATTCATCACTCACAAATAAATTCCAGTCCTGAAAAATAATTGGAAAAATTAAACATGAATACATATAACAAATGAGTGGGTCAATTTGGAATCCTCAGTTACCATCTCCTTGGAGTGATCAATCACTAGCAGTATGTGTCATTAAATACAAATAGTTACTGTTATTGAAGTCAAGAATATTTACATGCTTATCATACTTAGTGCATCAATTTTATTGATCGAAGGGGCTAGTTGAAGAAATTAGGATATCTCTACTTTCAAAGCAAGCACGTATATTAAAACAAACACCATGTTTGTTATGACCATGATATGACTTTCATGAATTAGGATCAAATGTTTCAAATTAAAGAATTGTGTCAGCTCCTATGTAAAGACACTTCAGTATACAAAAATACAAACAAACAAGAATAACTTACCATAGCTTTCAAAAATTCCTTTTCTAATTGATTAATTTTCTTCCCTTCCATAGAGGAGAACACAGCCCAGTCATAATTATATTCATCTTCATCATTAAGGTACTTGCAGGCAACCATCTATCAAGAACAAAAGATAAAGCTCTTAAACTTGGAGGAAATAATTCAGTAAAGTTGATCAATTAGAAAAACCAGGCGAGCAAAGAAAAGGGCCCTTTTATAAGCTATTTAATTAGGTATTATAAATACACTAATTCATCATGTAACAACAAAAACAAGAACCTTTTTTACTGAGAGACAACAAAATTAAATTGAAGCAAACAGATTTGATTTTCCAATTTTAAGATTTTGAAAAGGCAACTGGAAACAACTGGACACCCTAATCAGGATTTTTCACGAAAATTGATTGAATGTCAGACATTGACCCAGTTTAAGGCCTTTTTCTGACCTTTAAATTACCATCAGATACATAAATGACTAAAGATGAACAAAATTTGAAAAAATTACAGCTAAATAATTAAAAATAAAAAAAATTGAAGACATGTACTTACTAAGGAAATAACGAACAATTCAAACGGGGCTGATTTGTCTAAATAATCAGGATTACAACTTTTCAATCGTTCTAGGTAAACCAGGGCTAAGACCAAGGAGCTGGGATGGACACATGCTTTGCGGGAGAATTGAGCGGCTTCCTCGATTTGTAAACGTTCCAGACTTTCTCTCTCTCGTTTCACCTCAGAGTATAACTCAGCAGCCAGTTCTGGAAAAAAAAATGCACAATAAATTACAGCTGTTGAAATTGCTTACTTATTTATTTTATGCATTGAAATAGAAGAATCCTGTAAGATTGAAACTTGACCACTGTCACCGCAAAAGTCATAAGGTTGGTTTGGCAAACAGTTCATTTTCCCTACAAGCACTGTTAAAATAGTTCGAAAGCATATGTATTTTGGCTTACTCCAACAACCATGACAGGCAAAATTTATGATTCATTGACCATAAAAATGTTCAAAAAGTTCATTTAGCGCATCTTTTTCAAGGTGGAGAGAGGGAGAGAAGGGGAAAAATTCTGCCCTCACAAGCCTCAAGATAGGGCGTTTCTTGCTCTTGAAAATGCACTGGAAAATCACATTTTAGTCAAATCCTTATTGTCAATCTTAATAGCACTGGGCTAGGGGCATGAATAATCATTTGCTTGACTCTATCTTTCACCCACCATATCTTGCAAAGGTAACTTTGGAGTTTTGTTTTTTTTTTCTTTTTTTAAACGGAAAAATAATCGGTTACTCCTTAGATTATGAGGTTTGCATACAACTGCACAAAACTTAGAAAATTTACGAGGAAAAAGCTTTTGCGACAAATTTTTGTTATGGAGGCATTCAAAGCACACATGATTTTGTCACAACTTTTCAATTTAATTTTATTTTCATGGTAGTCAAATTTTCTAGCTCAACACTGTACTCCGATGGTATTGAGGAAACAAGAGGGTTTAGAGGCTACCAAAAATTGATCACTCTTCTTATCAGATTCTTCTGAGATCCTAGGTAGAAGATAAATAAACTAGAGTGAATGCGAACAGAGGCAGTGATAATTACCAGTTACAGGAAGACTTAGGCGATCTGTGTTGGGCAATTTTCCGTAGTATAATGTTTTCTTGATTCGAGATAAAAATTCATCGTGGCTTCCAACGATCTGAAAATTGAAAGGTACACATAATAAAGTGGAACTGATGCTAAGCAAAGAAAAGAAGAGAAGAAAGATCTAGAGTACGTTGGACAGGAGTATGTAGGGGATGAATTTACTTAAGCATTACTTATTTGCACAAAGATCTTATGACATATAGTCATTAGTATAAAATATGATACTGGGGAAGGTAAAAAAGTCCATGATCAGGATGAAATTTAATCTTTTTTTAAATGCAAGTGATTGAAAAAATTGAATTGAGTACGTAGGTCACTTAAATTCATCTATAATCTTTAAAATATTCACAAATACCTTCATTACAATGACTGTATAGCAATTAAATTTTCAGTGATTCTTGAAAGCAAATAAAAATTACTCTATTTTCTAAACTGGAGCGACCTACTCTGTTTACACACCCACTATGTGAACAGATGTTCCGCATGATGACTCGGGTGGTGCTAAGTATGTGTCCGCACAGTGATAAAGCCAACCATCCTGTTGGTTGCTATCATAGTCAAGTTAATGGGAAATTTGTATTTCCTCTTAAATCAGTTACATGTCAACTAACGTAACTTTCATTGGGGAGAGGTAACAAAGCATCAACAAGACACGGACAACAACAGGTCAATAGGAGGTTAATTACGTTGTTCCTGAGAGGGTATCTTCGGAAGATGAGCATGCATTGAATGTTAAGTTTTGTTCATTTTATTTCCAATTGCTAAGTTGAGATATAATGGACAAATTCTAATGACAGCAATTGAGAAAGATTTAAGGAAGAATCCTCAAGTTACAATATGAGTGAGCATCAAGAAAAACTGAAGCCAACAATGCTGAATACAATACCTCTATTTTCGATTTATTTGAAGCGCACCGCTTCTTTTGAAGCTGCGAAAAATTCATTTTCTTCGTAGATATTTCGGCTCGAGTTTTGGGCACTACACTTAACACAAAAAATTACTATTAAGGAAGAAAAATCGTTCCCATTAGAAAATGATAACGATAACCTCTCCCTTCAGGACAAACAATAATTCGTCGACATCACATTGTGCAAGATGGTTACGGTTTTTGATGGCGTCATTATTAGTAACTTAAGTGACGTAGCCATGGTACCGATTTTATACTCGCGCTTAACGTTGATTGGTCGTTGCACTTAAGAAGCAGCGCACGGCGGGAAATTTGCGCGGGCAGGGAAAATGCAGCATTTAGACATTCTTTCCCGGACTCAAGCCTACTAGTAAAAGTTCACGGAACTTCACGCGAAATTGCAGTTCCATAAACCTATCTCTGTGTGGACAAGGCCTTTCATTTGTAAGAAATGAACCAAAAATTATGAAAGAACAAACATTAATGTGGTTTAATAATTTTAACTTCCGCCGCCGCGCCGACCGCACTGTGTTTGATGCAATGCGTGAAGTATTCATGCAGTCTTGTAGGCGCTATGCGTTTCACGCCGACCGCTGTTCACCGCACTGTGTTTGACGCAATGCGTGAAGTATTCATGCGCTCTTGTAGGCGCTAGTATTTGTTACGGGCCGACCGCCGCGCCGCGCCGAGGGCTTCTCCTTTTCATCTCAAGTCCTCGTCATCATTGCTCTCTGCGCCGCGCCGCTCCAGGCCAAATTGCGTGTTTGGTTTCTCTCTTAACTCGACTAATTTAATGTGCGCAGTCTTTTGTATCACCGAAAGACAACAAAATTAGAAATTATTATAATCTCAGGAAATGAGAGATTTTGTCATATTTTCTTGTTTGTATTTTTTCTCTGAATCCGTTTTTGTTTTACCTATATTTAAAAAAATTGCAAAATTTGCCGCCCTCTAAATTTGCCGCCATGGGCCGCGGCCCATGTGGCCACCCCCTCAATTCTGCCCTGCATAAAGGATCTCATCCTGCGGGTCTCCCAATTTTCATGGTTTTTTTTTAATTTTTATTATTTTTTCCTTCTATTTCACTTTATTATAATTTTCTATTAGTTTACTTTATTATATTGTTTTTATCATATTATATGTTATTTTCAATTATTTTTTATTTTATTTTACTTTATTTTATTTTATTTTACTTTATTTTACTTTAAGACATCTTAGCCGCCTCAAATCTACAGATAGTCCTGCTAGTAAAGCATATATATTTACAACATTTCAGGTCAAAACGCTGTAAACTCCGAGAGTAAATGGACCGAGTTTAACAGAAAGGAACCAAGCCACATCAGCTATTGCCAAGTTTAACTGGGCAATTAATTTTTTTACGAGAGAACGTTTGTTCGGATTTCTTTGACAATTTTAAGGGATTTGCTTCGTGCCATGAAAAATTTTCACTGAAATTTGCACAAAAATCCGCACAACCGTTTTCATGTAAAAATTAAATTGCCCAATTAAATTTGGCAATAGCTGATGTGGCTTGGTTCCTTTCTGTTTAACGCGGTCCAAATTAAGCTATAACAGATGTAGTTAGGATGATCCTGTTATCCATCGAAATCTGTATAAGCTTCATTAGGCGAGGAAGATCTGCGTTCTCAAAATTCCTGCTCGCAGTTGAGAGCCCTCGACGAAAATCACCGAAATCGATGAGGCACTTGTTGGAGTCGCAAAACAGAGGCTGGGTCGGAGGGAGGGGGGGGGGCGTTAAACGTGCGTTACTTAGCCGCCCAGAAAGATCAACGTAGGCGGCGCTTAATTTTCCTCGAAGTGGGTCAGGGAGCGGAAAGAAAACAGTTTCTCGAGCAAAACTGAAATCTCGAGGTCCGGCGCGGGAGCTCGCCTCTCATTCCTCAGTATTTCGAATAAAATAATTAAATATCTGGAATACTCGCCAATATTGCGCCTAAGCTTAGACGCAGTAATGCCAGTTAGTCAGTGGCGTCGCTTGAATTGTGATATATCGATTGATATGTAATTTAAACCTATGGTAAAGAATCGATTATTTAGGTGTTCGCTGCAAACACCCTGTTTATTGATCCTTTTCCATAGGTTTAAAGGGCAAATCATTCGATATATCGCATAGCACGCCACGCCACTGGTTAGTATAATAAGCTGTCTTTTATTCTGTAACCCATCAAAGACCGCACCGGCGTTATTTGGAGAGGATGAGGTAGGGAATTTCGATGGTAAAACTCCCAAACCACGTATCTCGTTTCCCGTGTTTCATAATCTCCGCTCCCTTTTTATTTTTTTAAAGGAGAACAAATCAACAATTTTCCTTGAAGTTTTCGCAGAATTTTCCTCGCACAGACAAGAAAAATCAAGGAGGTTTTAATGCATTGACGTTGAGTAGCTCTCAATTTAAAAACTGAAGTATGTCAGGAGGTCTGCAACATCGCAAACCGAGATACATGGTTTGAAAGTTTAACCATAGATTGCTTCTCCTACCCCTGACTTGCCCCTCTGTCCTCTCTGAGATGAAATTGGACGTATTTCTACCAAACAGACCTATGTGGCGGTGAGAAATATGGGGTGTGCTCTAGAAATCTGCATAAGAAGCAATGTAAAAGTGGGCGTGGTTCCTTTTGAAGAATTGGAAAAGCGGGATAATGCATTCTATCAAACAGACCTATGTGCAACTGAGTGAGGAACTCATGAGCCGCGGGCAGGGCAAGAAAGCGTTGTGGACAGGGCTCATGAGTTGATGACCCCCGTGAGCAGAACGACGGCGGTTCCATCTCCGTTGACGTCACTGGCGCTTTATTATTCTCATTCACTCTTACGGCCAGAGAACTAACGAGCACACCCCATATTTCTCACTTCCACATAGGTCTGTTTGGTAGAACTACGTCCAATTAAGGGGGATGAGATAAATTTTGGGCCACGTGAATTTTGTTAAATTTAATGGAATTTATTGAAATTTCATGAAGTTTTGCCTTCCTCTGCCCAGCGAACGTTGCCCCGCCTCCCGCAAAATTTGGCTGATTTCAATTAATGGCCTTTGAAGGTATTGCAGTCAAGTGACACAACTCGCAACTGCAGTGGATTAGTTGCAGGAATCGTATAATTGATTTCAATGATTTAATATAACAGGCTATCAAAAAACGACGACTTGCTTACATACAATAATCTGCAATCAATACTCACTAAAACGGATAACAGCCTTTCAAAATAAGGTATATTGCACAATCCACCACGGTAGTGCATGTTTTTGTTCGTTTGGAGGTCCTTACTTATAATTTTCTTTCGTCCCTTTTAAAGAAAAGCATACAAACAGACTTGAATCAAATATTAAAATAATATTTTTCGTCTTATCTCGGAAATATCAGGGCAGATTTTATAGTATTCATATTGGTTTACCCAAAAATAAAATAGGCAGTACATAACTTGCAACGTCGCATGTTGAATTATGAAAGTTTTTCGTCTCAACGTCGATGATAAGAAAATGTGTAACTACATACGCGCTTGAGTGTAATTTCAGCGGTAATCATCGCGATCTTCCGCCATCAATTCGAAGCGATACTCTTGAAGGCGCTCTGAGCAACTATTCCGCCTCAGAAGTATTGCACAGTGTCAGACGAAAATGAAGGCGCGCTAACGTTCGCAAATTGAACGGCATCGTTCACTACTGTGTAGAGTGTCCTGTTCATCGTGCGATGTGAGGTTCCTGCTCGATGAATTTTTATAAAGCTTAGTGCACGGGGGTATTTTTGACGCAGAAGTTGAATTTTTATTCAAACTTTAGAAATTCCAAAATCCAAAATGGTGAATGAGACTGAAAATACTGTCTCAGCTCTTACTCAATCGATTTTTGTGAAACTTGGTGACAGTTGGCACTCCGTGACGTTCAACTTGTATTTCAAATCAAATTTTCAAAATTCAAAAATCCAAAATGGCAGACGTGGCCTATAATGCCATCTTATACTATTTATCAAGATTATCAAATCTTTACAATCCAGGTATATATATTCTTTTTCTGTTCAGTTTCAAAATCGATGTACTCTCAGTTAATGTATACTCAATATCAGTGCTCTCCTCGACTTTTTTTCTTGACACTGCAGCTTGTTTATTTATTTAGGTCTCGATTATTTCATTCCTCTCTCGAAGACATGTAATCAAACTTCATAATCTTTACATTTTTTATGCAAATGCGATGCAAAGATATGTTTCCTTTTTTCCTCTTTATTTATTTATTTTTCTTTTTTTAGAAAAAAAAATCTTTTAGGCTCGCAAATAAAAGATAGCATGCTTGATTTATCCATTGATTTTCAAGGCGCGCGTTTAAGATTCGCAATCACACTCAAGGCCGCAACTCATTACGCCGGTAGGTCCTCTGGTAATGACATATCGGAGCAACGCACCATTTGCGGGTAAATTTTTGTTATCAGAACTCTGCTTAACAGAGCAGAAAATGTTTGAACAATAAGTCAGACCTTTATGTCCGGCTTAATTCAGCGCTGATATGAACTGTTCGGCCTTCACTGCGCTTGGAGAATGCTCCGGCCTCACCCACATGACCGCACGAAAACAGTCAAGATGTTCCTTGTGTGAGTGCACTCATCCCTTCCTTCCGTGTTTGCGTAAAGACAATCACTCCGCCCCTTCCGTCCAACACCCCGTTCCGCTCATCGTTTTTCATAGATATTCAGCCTAGTATATCACTATGAATATTGAATATATGAAGCAGAAAATAGATTCGAAATAAAAATAATAATTTTATATCAAAGTTCAGAATTTACGTGAAGGAAGAGAAATGATTAATGTGTGTCTGTACCCCTGCAGCCATTGGCTCAATTTGTAAATTCATGTATTTCAAAGTTATTCCAAGGGGCAATTACATTGGTGACTGCGCCTTTATACTCTTTATACTCAAACAGTTTACCCGATACAATAAAAGGAAAAATATATTCAAACATTAAAGTAGATGAAAAAATTAGATTAGGATGCTTAAACCAACATTTCAGCTTTTGGATTGAAAGCTGTCTTTTTTATTATTATTATTTATTAATTTTTCAGTTGCGGTAGGGTTGAATATATTTGAATAATAGGGAAAAATGCTATCCCCGGGCGATTGACCGGTTAAAAAAGAAAAACTCATGTACTCTTAGTTTGAAAAAGCAAATAATTTAGCAGTTCGTTTTACATTTTTTAAATTCACTCCTTTTCAAAAAAAAAATAAAAAAAATAAAATAAAAATAAAAATAAATAGATAAATAAATAGAAATACGTAAATTTATAAAAAGCGAGTTAATCTTAAGGGATGCAAGTTCTGCCACAGCAAGCCTTTGTCACCTTACACGGACGCTTACTGCGACATTTTCTAAGGATATGAATATGCAAAATTACAACCGTAATGAATTAATCGTTGGAAGATGTTGGATTAGCTAAATATCTTCAGTGGTCGTGATAGGGACAACGTTTAAATGGATTTCACTCAGCTACATCGTAGACGGTTTGATTCAGCTCAAGATGAAAAAAAAAAAAATAAAACAAGGCATTAACGGACACGCTTCCAAAATAATGATCTTCCTCTGTCCTGTTATCATACTCGTCTCTTAGCAATCATTGCGGATCCATAAACAAATTGATTGGTTAAAAGCAAAAACAATGAATTACTGAGAACCCTAACCGACCAGCATTTCGCCGGAAATGGCGACCAAAATTCCAGTTGACCACAGCGTAAGGTGAAGTTTAAGATAAATTTCAGTTGAATTTAGGCACTTCATACTTAATGCGGAGGGAAGTATGATTTTCCACGATGCCGCGAGATGGAGGAGGACTCGTGGACTCCGTGATGAACATGGCGGATCAGCTGGACGTTCTACTCGAGCCGATGAAATGTGGCGTCTCTGCTTTTTCAGCGTTGCCAACTCTCTTCTACCTCAGCGGCACTGTCATGCTTCTCCATCAAATTGTCACCACCTCTGGCCGAACTTTATTTTGGAGAAGAACGCATCGAGATTTAATCCTTCAGGTAGGCAGAGAAGCTCCCTGAACTTATCACACTTGATTTTCAGGTGCCCTCGAATTGAGCATACCTCGTTGGACATCATTCGGAAATTGAGTATTTATCTTGTATCATGCATGTGTCACATATTTTTTCTTAAAAAGTTTTATTTTACGTTTTTTTGTTTTTTTCGTGTCGTTTCAATGGCTATTCCCTATACTTGAATATTGTCGAAAATCTGCTCTATTCTCAGACATTTTGAAGAATAATTGCAAAATATTCAGATGAACTGAAATCAGGGCCGGATTTAGGCCGCGGCCCGTGACGGCAAATTTAGGGGCGGCAAATTTTGCAATTTTTTTAAATGAGGTATAAAAAAAAGTAAAAATTACAAATGAGAAAAGGGGACAAAATCTCTCTTTTCTTGAGATTATAGTAATTTCTACTTTTGTCGACTTTTGGCGATATAAGAGACAGACCTTTAATTAGTCGAGTTAAGAGAGAAACCAAACACGCAATTTGGCCTGGAACGCGCAGAGAGCAATGATGACGAGGACTTGAGATGAAAAGGAGAAACCCTCGGCGCTGTAACAAATATAGTAGCGCCTACAAGACTGCACGAATACTTCACGCATTGCGCCAAACACAGTGCGGTCAGCAGCGCAGCGGTCGGCGTGAAACGCATAGCGCCTAAGACTGTAGGAATACTTCACGCATTGCGCCAAACACAAAGTGGTCAGCGCGGCGCGACGCGACGGTGGAAGTTAAAATTATATTAAACCACATTTAGGTTTGTTCTTTCATAATTGTTTCAATCACTTCTTATAAATGGAAGGCCTTGTCCACATAGAGATAGGTTTACGGAACTTAACTTTCGTGCAAAGCTCTGTGAACTTTTGCTAGTAGTGTTGACAGGGCTTTCGCAAAAAATGTGTCCAATCCGGGTTACCGCGTCTTATGCGCCCCTCCTCAGGCACGTTTACTTGATAGTGTTTATTAATGTTTCAAAACGAAAAAGGAGGCGGCGGCAAAATACAGGGGGCCCATGGGCGGCAAGTAATCCGGCCCTGGCTGAAATAATAACGAATTCATGCAAATCATACTCTACAATATAAAATCATGAGGGTAGCGTATCACGCTAATCATGTCACAAACCGGTTTCTCCCCCCTCTTTCCTTCCTTTCTCATCCTGTGCCCGATTTCCCTTACTTTTGCCTAATTAGGTACTGGTGAAAGTACGAGTTTGCCTTCTGCATGGCTTCACATTAATTTTAGAGACGAGCAATGAATTCCTCACGAATTGCCTAATAAATGAAAATTATTTACGTTTACAGGAGATACTCCTCGTTTGGTTGATTGGACAATCTTTGAGGCTATGGTGGACCATAGTAAAATTCATCAGTATTTTTGCAGCATGGTTATGGAAAGAGGTACTTTCTCTTCGTATTATTACTTGCAGAAATGATTTATGTAATATAAATATTATACCTCCTTGTATCAAAGGAACATGAAAAATCTATAATTGCGTTAATAACTACGTAATAGTCATGTTGCGATAAAATGTATAATTTTTTGACACAAATAATAGAAGAATCACGATTTTGTCAATTCAGGACACATGTTCAACAATTTATATTTTTATTTAAATAAATTTTTACTTATTTTTCGTCAAACGCATTTGTTTAGCCATTACTATGAAAATAAAACAGAAAAATCTACAAAAAAAAATTTCCTCCTTTGAAATTTAACTGCCTCGGTTACCTGCACTGTAAAAGGCATGCATCTCAGCATTTTAAAACTCACGCTTCAAATAGGTCGTCTGTTTTGCGTTGTGACAAGTGAAAGATAAAATAAAAAGGGGAAGCATCACATGTAAAAGTAAGAAGTGAAAGAACATTCTCTCGGAGGAAGAAGATTCAAAGTCATGGCTGATTCTTTTCAATAATTACTACCATTATAAAATTCATATTACATTTTCTAGCACAGATTTTTAAGCGACTATCTACTGTTTAATTAATCATTCACCCAGAGGATGACATTTGAGAGTGACTAACCAAGTTTGGTTCATTTTACTCAGATGGTAATGATGTATCCTCCAACAAGTTACTACGAGCTTCTTAATGGATATAAGCCTGTCCCAAGTTTACCAGTGCCCATCCTTTTCGTTCTCGAGCCAGGCACATTGAAAAATATTATTCTAATGGTTCTCTCAATTCTACCTTTGGTATTCATCCAGAACATTCAAAGCCGGGGTAATTTATCCCACTTCATGTTTTGGTAAGTATAAAATAATTAGGGGGGTACCTACAGCCTTTGGTCGCAAGTGTGAGAAAAATGTAAACTTTAGAATGACAGGCTGACAAAGGTAACCTCTTGTTTTCGCTCGATGACTGTCCGTGTTGCATACCTGAAAAAATCAAGGCGCTTCATAGCGTCTCATCTTGGAAGAGTCACCTCGCGTATGATTCTGACGGTTGAACCAGACTTAACGATTTTGATTTATGAAAAGATGAATCAGAGAAGAGTTCGATGACTTGTAACTGTTACTCTTCGCGTTAATGGTTATTTTTCAAAATATTTGAGAATGAAAAATCAGGCAATTAGAACATATCATTGAGATGCACCTGAAGAAAACCGATTCTTCTTCTAAATCTAAGGTTTTACAGGTGGATTAATGCGGGTGTATAGTTATGACCAACAGATTTTTTCCGAGAAATATATTTAGACATCCATGATAATTTTTTTAATCTTTAAATGCAATCTATGAAACTATGTATTGCACGGAGCTAAAAGCGGAAAGACAGAGTCAATTTCTAAACTAATGGCGTGATGAGAAAAGCAAATTTCCAAAAAGTAAATCTGAATCAGATTCAGTGAAATAGGACTCTTTTTTTATACGATATTCTGCTATCGAATCTCTCGGGTCGAAGTTAAGGAGAGGGGTTAGCGTCTGCATGCATGACCGTAGCCTCTGTAACAGATTCATCCGTGTATGCAGAGTCTACGAGATACGTTTATGAGGCTCTCGTAAGCAAAGTAATCAACTTTTTACGGTGGAACAAAGCTGAAAACGAGGACAGAAAATGATAAGTCGCATCGCATTGCGCGATAACAAACAGTTTTTACAGCATCATTTACGCCGTTTCCTCCATCCTCTGACGCGCTTAAAAATGCATTTCTCTCATTTGTTTTTTATGAAAAATCAGAGCAAAAGCTGGTTATACTCTACTCTTTTGGTCCAAAGTTCGTTAGGATTCAGCAGATGTGCATATCGTAGAATGGCACTTACAGGTATTTGAAAGTGAACTCTTCCAATGCGTTCTATTATATTCTGCTTGCTGAGGAAGAACGCCGTATGAACCTTCAGGCGTTGCCAAATCTCTACAGATTAAATACGAATTTTCAAGAGCATTTGTGCATTTTTTACTCCAAATTTTCAGATAATTTTGTACGTAATTTAATCTGAAATACCTGAAAATCTTAGGGTAAAATATGCATGAATTTCGTCAAAAATACATGTTTTAGCAAGGGAAATTTGGCAACTCTCGAATGTTCATACGACGTTCTTCCTTAGCACGGCAATATACAGGAATAGAAAATCCAACGAGGGAGAACTGCGCTTATTAGATTTTATCAGGCGAGCTCATATCCACTATAACCATATGGAGAAAGCTTCGTAAGTTAGTAACTATTACAGTGCTCTGATTTTAGACCTGCTATTTCAAACCTTCGTTCACGTGGTGCGAGATGATAAGAACTGTAAACGCAAACGCTATGATTCTCAAATATATGTAGTTATTTTTTGCAGTTGGTGTTCTAGGAGAACGAAGAACCCTTCGCCTGAAGTTTGACAAATAATAAATTACAAGGCTAATCTGCTTGGGTTTGAAACCCATTCTCGGAATCGAAATTTTTTTTTTTTCTTATCTGAGACTGTTTAGAGAGAGGCACCCACAATTACCTCTCGTAAATACAATTATTTTAAACATAAAATTGGTGATTGAAAAGTTTCGGCCTTTATTAAACGTGCTTTCGTTGGATATCGGGATTACAGTAAAGCTAACGATATCTTACCATTGATTGAAGGTAAATGGTTGCGTCTAATAAATCAAGTGTCAAACACTTATAAACCTTGAATTTTTCACTAGCCAGAGGGGCTCTTGAATCACCTATAGTTCTTGCAAGACTAGTACAGAACTAAAATGGATAATTTCGGTCTTATTTAAGACTATCTCCCTCTACAGTAAATTTTTCCTCGATAGCAAGATCGCCATGTTACTATTCCCCCCTCCAAACAGCAGATTTGAGCAGTTAATCAGAGTAACGAGGTTTCTTGTTCTGCATTTTTCAGGATAGGTGCAAACCGCCGAACTAGATCCGAAATCGGCACTGCTGGCTATTATCTTGAACGGCCAATACCCATTACTGTCAACATATCAGACGAGTCACCAGGAACATCATTCAGAAATTCAGATCCTAGTTTCTTTAGTGAAGAGTTTGCCTGGATGAATAAATCCAAACAACGCTCAAAATCGATTTAGTGTTCCTGATGCTCTTCCAGACATCAATTTGTATTTCTTTTATTTCCTTATTTTTCCCTCATTGTGAGCATAGCATCCAGTTAATACTTCACCCTAATGAACTTGCAAAAAGCTGTAGATCATGAATAGGTATATTTCCAGACTATTTGTTTTGAATACGAGTAACATGCAAAGTAGCATATTGACGGTGGAAGTCCGAGACCGTGTATCTTGGTTTGCGACGGCGCAGACTTCCTGTCATACTTTCTTATTTAAATGGAAAATTACTCATATGCAATTCTTAAAAACTGCCGTGATTTTTCTTTTCTGTGCGAAGAAAATTCTGAAAAAAAGGCATAATGTCGATTTGTTCTCCTTTAAAAAAGTAAAATAAGAGCGGAGTTTTTCAAACACCGCAAACGAAATACCCACGCGCACGTGGTTGCGGGCTTTGACCATCCATACAACACTTTCCTAAAAAAATCAAAGGAATAATACGGGTAACCACTGTGATTCATCGAACCAAGATACAATTTTTGTCCTACCTTCGGAGCCTGGTATATGTCTGGTGACGCTTCACATGTTTCTTTACGCCTTCAGTTATTAAAATAAGTTTTAAGCTATTTTTTCAACACTTTTCAAATGAGGCTAATTTAATTTTTAAGTACGGTAAACTGTAATACTATTCAAATTTTCATAAAATTATGGTTATTTTATCTTGCCATGACAAATCTGTTTTAGCATAATTAAATTATTTTCAAGATTTTTTGTGATGTTTTAGAAAACAAAACAATTTGCTCTCCAAAAATTTATTTTCCTCCCTCGAAAGGAAAGTTATCATCCACCATTTAAATGATTAAAATTCGCCTGTTTTCACTGGTTTGTGCGTGATTGGGAAGGAGGGGAATGGTTTCCCAAGTCGAGAGAGCGGAGAAACATGAATACTAATAGGTACATTTTAAAATTTAAACAAACGATATGTTTGTGATTGAATGACCCCTTTTTAAGGTACGGAAATTGAGTCATGGCAGTGATTGAGTCTGTTGACTGATGCACGTAAATTTCATTGGCCCTCCGAAAACTTAAGTAAACATTCCTTTGCTAATCGATAGAAGTTGCCTCTTTTTCGCTTACGTTCGTCGTAAAACACATTTTTGAATCGAACGTCTAGCTGAGACTGCTTTACTGCTTTTGTTGAACTCATTATAGAACTTGGTCTAACCCTACCTAATCAGTCTAACCGAATTTAACCTTGCCTAATTTTCTCTCTTACCTAGTTAATTTTTTTTTAGCAGAGGACCAAATTACCTATCGACTTTAAAATTTGTGAAAATTTACCTCAGATTATAGAAAATGTGCTCACAAAATTTTACGTGTCACTGTTGCATCGTTTTCTATTTGAAAAACTAAAATATCAGAGAAAATTTGTCAACGGCTGATGTAGTTAGGCGAATTTTAGATCGACGGTGAAACTACCACACCCATTTTTTTTTTTTTTTTTTTTTTTTTTTTTTTTTTTTTTTTTTTTTTAATTTAGGTATTTATTTATTTTTTTTTTTTTAAGGAGACCAGATCAATATCATTCCTTGAAATTTTCTTAGAGTATTTTCAGCGCAAAGAGTAAAAATCGCGGAAGTTTTCAAGAAATGTCGTTGAGTAGTTTTTCATTTAAAAAATAAAGTATGACAGGAAGTCTGCAACATCGCAAACCGAGATACGTGGCCTGGTAGTTTCACCGTCGAGATGTATCCGTCCAATTAGAGAATTCAAAATTTTCCCTGAACCTGAGAATTTTATCTGATATATAGGACTTAAGAACATCATAATTGTCGGACTCTTAATTGTTTTCCGTTATTTTGACGCCAGAATCGAACAAGCGACCGAACCAGTTGCATCTGTAACCACTCAGGGTGTATTCGATGACCAAAGTATGAAACCACGTATCTCCAATGCGCTGTTCCAAATTACAGCTCAAATTTGATTTTTTTTTAAAATTTATGCAGAATATATTACGCAAACAGAGAAAAAAAATTCAAAGCCGCTTTCGAGAAATTAAGTTGACTAGTTTTTGGATGAGGAAAAAATAAAGTACGACAGGAAGTCTGCGATGTCGCAAACGGAGATACGTTGTTTCATACCTTGGCTATCGATATCTAATTTTTAAGGGAGCGAGGAAGCATACCTGTAAAAGCTTGAAGGAGGCACCCATTGCTTTGTAAAGGTATATGCACTTGCCACACGAACTAACAATCGTCCATGATGATAATGACACCACCTTGGGAAGGGTTCACTGGTAACCTGTCAACAGTAATTCCGGTATGCACTGAAGTTAAGAACTAGGGGAGAAGGAGAAAAGGTGAATGGCTGTGCCCCTCGGCAGCTTTGTGCGGAATGAGTTATTGCATCACATATTTATGATTATATCTCAGGGGAAGAAGCCATACAGGAACGAAAGTAAAAACTCATGCAAATCGAATTATATCCTTCAGCATAAGCTAATTCGCCCAGTGTTGATGTTTTGAAGGCAATCAAGGTTGTGTCAGTGTTTTTAAGTGTGAAAATGCGTTTTCGGAACGGGTCCCGTTCCAAATTTAAAGCCTCCAATAGGGTGAGTACTCACATTTTTCCAGGCTCATAATCTAACGCGCAGGGAATGCCGTAGCTGTAAGGGAACGAGCTTATCGAGCGAGGAAAATACGTTATGCGTCATCCAAGTGGCTCATTTTCGCTGGGATGAAATAAAAATAAATAAACATATCCAAGACGCATATAGTGTGATGTAAGTTTAATTTTTGTCTCATTTTAACTTAAATAAAACGCTAATTGGCCGTATACATTTGTGGGGAGAAAAAACCCCTCGATTGAATGATGTTCCATACATCCAGTTGTCTAATTTACTGAACACGCAACATTAAATATGTTTACGAAGGTAAGCAAGTACTTTCTAGATGACCCCCCCCCCCATCATTAGGGTGACCTGAAATGTTCCGGTATTTATCATGAAACTATCAGGGCAATTTGGAAGCTAGTGTCTTGCGGTTTTTTAAGAAGTGACATTGAATTACAGCATATTGATTGGCTTATCGATTTTGCTTTAAAACTTCACAAAATTTTGCAATGTTGCAAATTTCACGAACAATAGTTACATGATCGAAAATAAAATTAAGTTTGACGAGTCTGTAATCAGAACGCTTACTTTGATGTGACATGTTGTTTGTCTTTCATTAGGTTAAATAATTTACATTAAAACTGCGCATGCTTTAAAAAAAAAATCGCGTTTTTGCGCTGATGCAATTCTGCATTTAAGTGTGAAAATAAGCATGGCACCCAAAAGCGTAAATGTCCGAAAGCACAAACATTAAAAAAGACAAATAAATAGCCCATAAATGCAAAGGAAGGATGTCGAGAGAATTTCAATATAACGCTTGAGTGCAACTATTCCAACTCCATGGATGTCCGTGTTGCGTGCGCATAAGTTGAAGGCGTTTTAATCCTCCAGGCACTCACCGCTTCACCGCGGGCAGTTCGCTGCTCCGCGCCGCGGCGTTGGTGAGCAGGAGGATGTTCCACTTCGAGGGTCACCTCCGAATTCAGGTGATTCTACCTTCTAAATGGTTGACCCCACTTACAAAAATAAAAATGTATTTTAAAACTTCTGATAAGTTCACATCTTACGCAAGGTATAGGGCACATCATTTTGAATTACGGCTAATATAATAAATTTGGCAACAGCAAATTATCCATACGCGGTTTTTCCGCAACGCCGCTGCCTATAATGCACTGAAAGAGATAAAGATCCTACGAACAAAGTTCTATTGATCGAAGTTGTGGAAATAGTACGCACAAATTTAGGATTTAGGCGCCTTCAATTAGAGTGATACTTCCAGCTTCGCCGGAGAGTTAGTTTAGTTGCGTGACCTAACTTAACCCAACCTCTCTCTGTTGCGATCGGTTCCCGAGCTTTGTCTCCGATCAGAATAATAAAACTCGGACATATTCAATAATGACTGCAGAGACAAAATTTGTTCCAACGTTTCGGAAATACTTCTCATGTATTATTTTTTGAAGGGAGACTCATTAAGTTATTTTTTTTCCCCCGAAATTCTCCGTGAATTTTTGTCACTTTGTATATTAATGATCGGCTCTTGATCAATCACTGTTTGTGAAACTTGGTATCACGGGGCACTTTTGGACGAGAAACTCAAAAATGAAGTCAGATTTTCAAAATTCAAAAAATCCAGATGGCGGACGTGGCCTATAACGCTATATTAGCTGTTTGGTTGTTAAAATGTTGCATCTTCATAATTATGTAAAAAATCTTCCGAAATAGCAAATAGTTTTTGCATCCCACCAAAAAATTGGTAATTTCACAGGGAAATAATTATGTACATTTTAATACTATACATCTATTCAGTATTTTTTAAAATAGAGATTTAAAATCATTTTAGACAACATTCAGAATTCGCACGATTTTAATAACACTGTAATTACGCTGGTTCCTTTTTGTTAAATGCGATCCACATGATGGCCGAGAAAATCAAGACCAAAACCGAAACCCACGGTTTTGACGAACTCGGTCCATTTCTTCATTGCGTGTAACATTTGAACCTTAACCTTTTATCATGAACAGCATTATATACTATAGCATTTTTCGTGACCCCCCC